CCCCCCCCGGCAACGGTCACTCCGCGGCCGTTAGGGCTGACGTCACGGCGAGGTGTGAGGCGGCGCGCGCCGCCGTTGCCGCGCCTCGAGTGGTCTCCGCGAAAGCCAGTGGCAGGAGAGCGGTAAGGCCGGGCCCGCCGTTGGTGCCGTTTTTCCCCGCCGTGGCGCCGTTGGGCCCGTGCGCCCACCGAGATGGCGACGGCCCGAGCTCGGCCGCGCCGTGAGGGGCAGGGGCGCGAGCGCAAGATGGCGAGCGGCGCCCTGCGCCGCCGTCCGCGCCACGCAGGCSTTTTGTATTCCCAGGAGGACGGCCCGGCCGATTTGAGATGAAACAATTTCATAAAAAAAAAAAAAATAGGAAACACCACGTTGCCTGCGCTGCTTCAGCGGTACGCTAATGACATCCTTCAGCTGCGTCACCGTATCCTGTTTCCTCCATCAGTCCCYTCCGCCCAGGGCCTTCATCCCAGTTGTGTAGGTGTGACACGGTTAACCATTTTTTCCTCTGGAAAAATACCTTCACCGAGAACGATGCAGAGTGTCACGTGTATAAACTGAAGGCTCTTGGCAGATGCTGTCAGCTCATACCTTGTCATTCAAGGAAGGGGCTTTTTGTTCATCAAGATCCGATGGAATTCAACAACAAAAGCCATTTTAACTGCAGAAACACGTGATTGTATAATTTGTGGCAATAATGCAGTGCCATGCCCCTAATGTTTGGAAATCAAGGCTTTTCAAGCCCGTAATGCCAAGACCTGAGCCTTTAATGTCAACTGCATTCCCTCGTTTGGATAATGTCAGAAAGCACCTCCTGTGTTTGCATCACCTCTGGAATGAAACATCACTTTTTTTAAAAAAAATGAGCTCCCCCCTTCCCCCCCCCAAAAAAAAAAAAGATTTTATGAATCCAGGTCTGCAGAGTTTCCCACCTTAAATCATAATGTTCCTCACATCCCACTAAATCCTCCCTCAATATGTACTTAATAAAAGAAATGTATTAATCGTAACAGGATCACTGTTGCAATGTTATTTCTGAGACTTCCAGGAGTCCTTAGCCTGTAATCTTCTGGTATGAGGTCTAAACTGAAGAATAAATTTTATAAATACCCACATAGATGACAGTTTGATGAGATCCAAGAGAAATAAATTGAATGTTCTGGCCACTTAACTACTGCTTCCTGGTATGACTGCATTAAAATCAAAAAAAAAAACAGGGCAGGGTACATGAAGGCAGATAGTGACATGAATGGTTTTGTTGTCTCATGTCAGACACTGTGGTATTTACTGATACATAGTAAGATGGGTTTACTTACAGTGTTCATCTCAGAGGTGCCTGACTCCTTGAAACAAATTACACTTCAAATGCATTTGGCCAGGCAAAGGGACAGATTGTCCAACTACATCAAAACTTGCATCTGGGGTTCAGGAAGGATAGTCAGGTTTTACCTCTTGAGCTGTTCGCAAGGAGTTGCCCGCTTGGACACTCTCTATCATGGTGTGGTGCAGTACAGCATGGGGACGTGACGCTGAAGGCTCCACTGCRCTGATCTAGGCCAAGCAGGGGAAAAGGCCGTGCTCCGTTCAGCTGTGTACACATGCGAGTTAGAACACCAGGCTCGAAGATGTACATATTGCTTCAAGTGTCCGGGCCAGTTGGTAGGCTTGGAAAGGGTCTTTGAGACTGCCAGGCCAGGCTCTTTCTTTTAACAATCACCTTGTTTTACCGCCTTGTGTTAGATTATCAAGCTCCAAATCAGGTTTAGTAGTTATAGAACAGTACTCTTCACAGCCCAAGCGGCATCGCCTGTTYGGGGCTGTTTTGCTCGACTTCCTTTATGATAGTGATCTCTGTTCTGATCCAAGATTTGTTCCTTCTAGTCTTGCGGTGCAGAACAAGTAATTTCCCTCATTTTTATTACATACACTATATACGTAATTTCCCTGCCACCCTTGCTAATTTGWGCCTTTTGTAAGTGCGATGGCAATAAAAGCACTTGCAGTCTTAAATAAGATTAGTGTTAGACTTGTCATGCTTGTAAGCTTTATTTTTGACATGGTCAAAAGCGGCTTAGAGAAAGGCAGATATGAATCTTGTAGTGGATAATAAAGGAGAACATTTTGGGGAGGCATGAAACCTGCTCAGAAAGCAATATATGCACCTAATATTTTAGAAACCCAGAGTAAAATGTTCTTATAGATACCATGATAATCTTCAAAACTGATGTTTATAATGAAAGAGTAAAGAATTAAGGTTTTGTTTTGTTTTTGTATTCTCTTATGGGTGTATTATCAAAGCCATGGCTTTTTGATAATGGATAATATAGCAAGGGAAAGTTGTATGTAATCAGGAAGATAATACCTAACTAATACATTTCCTTTTGCAAGTCTATAAAGTTGATTAACTTTTTAGACTTTATTTCTGTTAGCACATAAAGCTGCAGTAAATCTTTAGACAAATAGTAATCCTTTGTTATCCCTTCATCTATGACTTCAGTTTTTGTTCAATTCCATTCTGCTAAGTACTAAATATGATCAGCAATAAGACCTGAGATGTACATTCAGTTAATACCTTTGCGAACTGTCCTACTTGTACCAGATCCTGTAAAAAATTCAGTGAGATAATTCACGTTTAGACCTCTGCATGGATATGCTCTCTGTTTCATTAATTACTAGAAGTAGCATAATGATTAAAATTAAGAAGCAATGATATTGATTTTGGTTTGTAATTACAACCTTTACTGGAACTGAACAAATATTACTGGTGTGAGCAAAGTTAAGCCCCCAGCACACACACATACCTTATTCAGATTTTCACAGCCCTTAACGCTGACTTGCTTCCACTTACCCTCCTGTCCTGATTGTATGTACATCCTTTCCCCCTTCCAGAACGTGAAGTTCCAGACAATTTAGTGCACCAGTGCTCTGTGCCATCCCCTCCAGCTGTCCTAAACACACTCTGTCCACACTCAAATATTTTTTCCCAGGGATTTTTTCACCCCAGAAGCTCCAGCAATCAGAACCTCTGAAATTATCGATGAGGGTTGTAGGGGCATAGATACAAGCAAATATCTCGTTCTTGATAAGCAAATASTAAATGATGAATTTAATCTGTAACTTCTGTAATTTCTAGTGCAAGTGCACTTACATGATACTTCTGCATTGTTGAAATACCTTTTTTGAGGGATGATTTGGTAGCAGGTGATTTTTTTTCTTTGCTTTTGTGAAAACTTCTTGAAATTGCAACACAAACTGAGGAATGCTCCAGCTGTAACAAAGCTATCCTTTCCTTTTGCCTCCATCTAGCTGTTTCAGTAGCAATTTATATCTTTCTGTGATTGAAACTGCTTTTTCTGAATACTTGTAACTGCTGAAGAGCTAGTGGTTCTTAAAAATATCTAAGTTCTCTTAACCTAAAACTGCTTTCCTCACTTTTTTCTCCTTTCATCTCAGTGCTGAACACAGCTGTACACAGCTGGTTTTAATATTTGCAAAAGTCAGAGAACCATGCGAGGAACCCAGAGCTTCACACCTCCAGAGCTGTGAAAGCAAATGAAAACCAAGTCATGCCATTCTCACTGGTTGTAGAATGAGTGAATTAATTGGGTATCTTTGATGTATTCTTTTTGAGAGGATACAGTTATTACAGCTTGTATATGTGCTGCAGTATTCTTACTGACATCGTTCTGGGAATTGTGAACCCTGAGCTGTCACATTTCTTCCACAGAGATTTCAAGAGGACTGGTTCACAGTACCTCCTTGATGCATTGCCTTGTGTCAAAGAAAAAAGGAGTTCTTTAGGAGAGATGATGAACTGAAATTGAAACATCATTACTTATTTTAAACAGAAGTAATAAAGTTGAGTTTATTTAGCAATTATACAGTTAGTGCTGATCAGTTCAAGGAGAAAAAATCAGAAGAAAAAACTCAGATGCCTTGCCTCCAGAAGCATACTGTTTTCTCTTACGTATGTATTAAGATTGTCTAAAACAGTTTTAAGAATCATAAGTTACTCATGACAGAAATCATCAAAAGTTTTTTGGATGCAGCGATGGCAATTACTTTAATTTACAGTATTTCAATATCTTTATTTCTCCATTACAGCAAATTTCATATCAACACCTCAGTCAGTGTGGTCTTACGATAARGAAAGGAAAGAAAATCAAGACATGCTCAGAACAGTGTTAGCCTGGAAAAACTGCTTAGAGTTGCAGGAGCCTCATCCAGGAAAGGACAACATGGCTAAATATGCAGAAGGTAAAGCATCTACATTTAAAATAACGCTCAGATAATAACSCCATTGGAAAGCACATTCAGGAGTACCTTAATCTGCCCGCATTTGGCATTATAAACCAGGTAATTTCACCATTTATTATTTATTATGCTTATCCACATTAGTGTCAGGCTGAAATACTTATATATCCTGCATATACATATATATCCTGGACCAGTGCTGAAGTGTTTTGAAATCTGTGTTCCTTCCTTCTTAGATATGGATATTAGATGTTCTGGGAGCTGCCCCTAGGACTTAACAGTGTGCCAGTTTTGACCATTGGTTTACAAATTCTCCTGGAGAAGACTGAGAATGAAAACTCAAGTACAGAAAGCAAAACCGTTTTCAGATTGATAAGTGCTCTGTTAAAAGAGCCTTTTTTTTTCCATGAAACAATAGTATTCCATCTACTTGGTCTTTGGTAATGACAGAGAAGTGGACTATGGCTCTGACATCCCCTGACGGACATTAAGTATACATTCTAAGCTTGGCAATGCAAAGAAAAGTAGTATGGTTTGTATTTAGGTGACTTTCAATGTAATGTTTTATCTTGCAGGTTTTTTACGCCAACCTGCATACACTCGTCACTATTTCATACCATTTTTCATAATGCTAGGTACACATGGCATGTAACAGTTTTCTGAACTTGAAATTCTAAAGAGATGATTAGTTAAGAATTTGCTTAAAGCATTATGCTAGAGAGATTTGTTCTGTGATCTGGTGTTTTGAAGGTGAGTGATTTAGTTACTAAAACCAGTGTAATTTTTAGTCACTGTAAATAAATGGTTATTACCATTTCATTTATAAATTGTTCTGCAATTTATAAGGGCTTTTTAATTTGTTTTGTTTTGTTTTTGTATTATGCTGTACCTCACAACCTCTAATAGCTACAGAGCTGGCCTTTTATATTCTCTTTTGGTTTATACTGTATTCTGACTAAAACAGCCAACAAATACACGTTTGAATAAAAATCTTCAAAAGCAGTTCAGTAATTGGGAGTCTACACCTTATTTAAGACATAATTTAAGAACTTGGGACCCTATTTTTTGAATAATCTGTAAGAATTTAYATTTTAAGTGGCTAAGTCACTTTTGAAAATAGATTTCAAATTCCTAATGTTTGTTCACAAATGTTAGCCCTTGCGAGTATATAATGAAAAAAATCGCACGTCAGATTGAAGCAGATATCATTTGGTTGGGTTTCTGTTTCTCTTTCTGATTCTGCTTATGATGAAATATTATCAAAATAGAAGAGACATCCTCGCATAGAAGCCTAATCTCTCTGTATGGTCTGTTAAAAAGAAAACAGGATTTTTTAGAGGGAGTGTTTTAGAAGATTAACCTCTGTGTAATATGTTAAACTGAATTACATGCATGAAATCAAGTAGAGAAAAACATTTGTACCAAATATTTGTGTAATTTATATTGACTTTTGTGAAAGGTCCTGCACTGATAGCTATAGAAAATAAGATCTACAGACAGGACAGATAGAGTATTGCTGCCAGGAACACTTTTGTTAACCAGCAGAACACCTTAGTTGGTTTAACTGAGCTGAGACTTGTGCTTAGTGTGAGGTTTAGTTGCTGAGTTGGGAGAGAGAGAGGTGTGTATAGATACATATCAAAAGGGATTTAAAAGCTAATTCATACAGGGTCACCAACACTTGCCAAATAGTACCAAGTAGTCATTAACACAGGAAGAAATACTGAAACAGMCAGAATGCTAAGTAGTGGTTAGAAGAGAGCTTTGCTAGCCAGAAGCTGCTGTGACAGCAGATGCTACCACTTTTACCAGTTARGTTCAACCTATGTACTGCTAGGTTTTGTATTGTGGACTTGCAGTCCAAGGCTGTGCATACGAGACCTCAAGCCAAAACCACTTACATTTCAATTGTGAAGTTTACTGGCCAAATTAATGGACTTTCCTTTTATTAGCAGCATGCAAGGTAGCTTCAACAGTAGGTTACACAAGAATCAACTAGGAGGGCAAATACTGCTTCTGCTGTATGTTTTGCTTTGAGCCTTGCTATTCCTTAATGATAATTTCTGTAGTAACTACTTCTGAAGTAAACAACTGATTAGTTCTGAAATTAGTCCTTGAAATTGCTTCTCTTCGTGTAGCTCAGGAGATTATAATGTAAATAGCCTTCTGCGGGCAGGCAGAAAACAAGGCTCCAAGCTGTTCCTCTTCTATCTTCACATAAAGAATCTCTAGAAAACACTCGTCCTGCAGGGCTGTCTTTTTTTCTGGACATGACCAGGAGAGAGAATCTGCTCCTTTCCATATAAAATGTGGTGATTTTGTTTTAAATGAAGTCAGTGCAAGAGATTTTGTTTTGATACTGCAAAAAGTTAGGCAAAATGGAAGGTAAACGTTTTCTTAGAGATCTAATGAGAAATTAAAAAATGAAAGTTGGCCAAACTCCTAAAGGTCTGTGAAGACTCTTTTTTTTCAAAACACAAGCCACTCTGCTTATACTGCACTCTCCTACCTAYTAGCTAACTTTTTCTGCCTTTTTGTCTTTGCTTTGTTTGCTTTCAACAGTTACATTTATTGCCATTTCCTTATCTTCTGTTTTAGGAGGAGTTTGAGTTTTTAAAAAATGCAGTAACAGTTTGGTAGGGTAGATGGAGCTACAAGCTAGAAATTGATCTTTAGCTAAACCTAGTTAAAATTGAAGGTCCTCAAGGACCTCCTTCCTCTTAGTCTTCCCAAAATTTTGGAAAGCTTAGTAAAAYATTTCATTCTTAAACTTAAATCTTTTATAAAATGATGGGTTATAGTTTCTTGTTATTCTTTATATTTGTTTCCATTTGACAGGAAATGTATATATGTATTTTTATCTACTTCTAGCAAATTGAATGGGGACTTTTTTCTTGTGTATATGAAGTATACTAGCTTTGTCATTGACTTTAATGTAAGCCAGTTACAAGATTACAGAATTGAAAATAATTAACTATATACATTATTAAATATAATAATTATGTAATCATTTATTATGTAATAAATAATTATATACATTCACTTATTTTAATTACTTGATTTTTCAAAAGAAAAATCTTTCTTTAAACAACCTCATACTTAAAATCAGATTGCTAAATAAACAGTTTTTTGGGTTTTTTTAAMAGGAAAACTGTAGACTGCTAAACATCTTTGTAAAGAGTCTTAAAATACAGGTGCTTCTGATATAATTTAAAAGAGGCAAACTGAATTATATAAAGATTAAATTTGCAGTCWGTAGTCTGGAAATGCTAAAATAAATTGCCCCCGCTGTCTCAATCGTGGTCTCTTGCTTTCTGCTTCACACAGTGTAGAGAACAGTCTGTGCTTTCCCAATAAATACCTAGTCAGTATTTTTTCCTCATATATGTTACGTATAGTATTCTTGGCAAGACTGCATTGCTATTAACAGTGTGTTCTTTTTTCTTTTTTTCTTTTTTTTTTTTTTAATTTAACCAAATCAGTAGTATCTAATGTTTCACAAAGTAGTCAGCACAGAAGCTTAGCTAGGTAAAGAGATGATTCCGTCTCTGTTTTACATATGAAATTCTACAACATGTCAGGATTTAGATAATATTTTCCATTCATTTTGATTACACTTCTGACATAATCTTATCATAGCATTGCAATTTTAATGCTGTATGTATATATGTATACACACAGACACACAGACACACAGACACACATCTTGTACCAATGCAGCAAAGTATGCAAAAAGACCTCACAAGCTGTTCATCCTTCAAGAGCTGGACACTAAATGGGAGTAGTCTGCAGCAATGGTGTCTGTATGGACCCCAAAGAGTAATCCTTAACCCACAGGAGCCTTAGATATTTCTCAACAGTAAARGTCCTCTAGTGTAACAGAGCTTTGTTAACGGCAGATGGCATCCTTCTCCTAACTGACCAACTTGAAACAGAAAGGTTTGAAATCTTCCTTCTGCACAGCAGTCAAAACTAGCTCTAACCAAATGTTCATACCTGTTTACCTGTTAACTTTGGGAACCGTGGTAGCTGCAAGAGCTCTCTTTTTTGAGAGGAATGGATCTGACAATCAGTTTTAGAATAATCTCAATATAGCCTGAGGCAGATCTGCTTTTTATTGTCCTTGGTTGGTCCCTTTTTGTGCATTTTTACAAGAGCTTCTCCTGGGCTGTACTTTTCCCACAGCTCTTGCCAACAGCGTCTTCATCTAGTCCCTCCATTTTGTCTGGTCTGGTCCTGAGCTGCAGTTTCTCATTCTAATCGGCTGTTTGGGCTCATATGCTGGTGGTAATTAAACACATATATGCTTTGCTGTGTGACTTTGGTATGTCCTACTCTTCTGCTAACCAGATTAAAAATATTTGCCTATTTAATGCTGTAGAACGTGTCTAAAATCCTTCTAGAAAATTCAGGTATTAGCTTTCTTGGCCTTTTTATAAATAAAACCCCTACCCTCCAAAACCAAGGCCAAATAAAGAATCTTCTGCAGGAAGAAYGGCAACTCATTTGTAACTGAGGTTACTTGTATAAAGTAAACTATTTCTGAAACTTGTACTAACCAGCATCTCTAGTGGGGCTTACTCTTGATACGTTATTGTCTTTAGTGGGACTATGCTACAGCATGCAATTATTCACATTTCTAATTTCTATCTTTGAAGTTTCACTGTGGTAAAGGCTCGCCTGCACAGAGCTCGTGGCCGGATAAAGATTTTAATTTTTACCTAACATGAATTTTAGCTACTTTACTCCTAAAAAGCTTGATTGTTGCCATCTCAGCAGTATTTTCATCTTCCTTTCTAAGCTAACCAATTTTCTGCCTGCAACTGGAGGAAATAGGAGGCATACTTTTCAAAAGCACACAGTTTTATCTACCTTTGTTTCCAGTGAAGTCGGGGGAGTTTTAGCTTTGATTTCAGCACAGAATTAGGCCAGCACTGAATATATTTCAAAATGCTATACTGAGGACCTGGGAACCTTAGTGAGTCCTCAGATGGCTGGTTAGA